TTGTTGTCACCCTGCTGGGTGGCCGGGCAGGCATCATGGGCACCTAAGTTCAGTTAGTAAGGGTGTCAACTAAAATCTCGGGAGATCAAAACTTAGAGATTTATAATCTTGTGAATACAATAATTCAAGAAGGAAGTCACCTGGGATTTTTAAATTGAAAACTGAAATGAAAACTTGACTGTGATAACTCAAGAACAAGCTAATGGAAGATTTTGAAAGTGATACCATCGGTGTGTCTACTAGGCTGACAGAGAGCACTTGTGGTGTGCAGTATGTTCAGGCCTTTGGGTGTTGTGGGTTTTTTTTAAGAGTGCACCATATTGTTGATTTGGCAGCTTCTCAAGTTTGGGTTTTTTCCCCCCGCAACTCAATGATGGGCTCCTTCTGACATGAATGCAAGTTCAACACTTGGAATCAGCTCCAGAGCTTTTATGCATTCAGCTTATGATAACAAGGGAACAGGAACAGGCCCTGCTTTGCCACAAAGCTTCTCTTGAAAATGGGATACTGTGCTTAAAAATTAATGTAATTCCTTAAGTTGTTAATGTGAACATTTTTGTTAAACCCCTTTAATTAAAGCTGAAAGTCTGCACTTTAATCACAGTACACCTTAATTTTTTAAATAAAATATTAAGGTTGAGATATATAAAATGGACATTTAACACTGAGTGGGCGCTGCTTTAAAAAGAATGGAACAACACTTCTCTCTTATTCAGCTTTAAATGGGGAATTATCAGACTGTCAGAGACCTGTGGTGCATGAAGCTTTTATCAGTCAGGCAGCACAGTTATAGATGCATAGTTCTCTATTAACATCCACTACCCCTCTGCACTAAAAACTTTCCTGGTGGAAACCCAACTGTACGCATCAACTGCGCAGAGTTCCACTTTTCGTTTCCTCTCAGATGAATATTAAATTTATTTACATTCCACTGATTTTTCCTAACTCCTTATCCACCTTGGTGTCATGGGTCGGGGGACTGGAGCCTCTCCCAGATGTCATTGGGAAAAACACACAGACACATCCAAACCTGCTGCCAGTTTAGAATCACCAGATATTAATCTATCGTGCATGTCTTTACTGTGAAAGGGAGCTGGAGTACCTGGAAAACATGTGACTCCACAAAGAAAGGCCACTGCATGCCAGGAGGACTGAACCCAGAGCCTTCTTGCGACCAGGATGACGGTGCTAACCATTTTACCCATTTAGAATATGGCCTACTAAGGTTACAGGCAGCTCCCAGCTCTTTTTTATCAACAATCCCTAATGCTAGCCTAAAGATGAACGCGTCAGCGGTTGTGGATCTTGGGTGATTAGCTTTGCTAGAGCAGTTGGCAGCTGTCACAATTTGCAAAGATAACTTTTCAGGCTCAGAATTAACATTCTGAAGACATTTTCAATGCAGAGTTGACAAGTGAAATTCATTCATCTCGAGTTTAGTGTAAAGAGTAAGTTGACTGGATTTGAGGTGCTTAGAGAAGCTTGAAGTATTGCATCTGTTTTTAAAAAATGCTGGCTTTAATTGTCTTTAGGTATTATGCCACCACAATATGTTTCCACATATTGTTTCCCAGTACCTTTAAAAAAAAAAAAAAACTATTTAAAAAAAACCCCCAAAAAACTGCCAAGTTTTCAGACATTTGTCGTCAACTTGTTCCAGTTCTCCCTGGTGGTAAATATAGAAAGTAAGGGAAGAAGGTGATGATGGGGAGGGAAACGTAATGATTAAATGAAAAGACTGGATGGCTGCTGTGAACATGAAAAAGTTGTATTGTTGTGGCTTTAACCATCTGGTCGAGTCATCTGCTTCCATCTGTTCAGCATTAAACAGCTTTTGGCATTAAACTGATGTCTGATTTCGCAGACTTAATGACAACATCATCAACGACAACAGCGTTGTGTGCAGCACACGTTTGGACGTGGCTGTTACTCTGACGCCTCTTAATCTTGAGATATCAAAGTTCAAAGCAAGCGGACATACTTGTTAGAGAGGGAAGAGACTATTAAAAGCATATAACACAAGAGGCTGCATGAAGCATAGTCTAAAATAGATGAGAAAGAGAGGATTTTATATAAGAAATGTGACAGAAATGGCAGCGAAGGGATGAGAGGGAAGAAGTCGAGTTAAAAGACTCTGAGAAATGACTGCTGTCAGCCAGGTGGTGGCTTCACGGTAAAGCAGGTTTGAGACTCACCTCCAGCAACAAAAAGGTGATTTTCTTCTCAAACCTCCTGACCACTTTTTGACCCACAACACTTTCGAGGACAGCGGGAAAAACTAGAACTGTTTATGTAGGTGTGTTGCTGGGATGGGTTGCCTCCTCTGGGCACAGTGACACAGCTAGACCTCTTCATTTCAAGTTGTCCCATGTCTATAGTTCACTAATGAAAAGCTTTTTGTTGCCTCAAACCTCCTGAGTGGCTTTGTACTGAGATACCGCCTGCTCTTTTTCAATGTGAGTACAGCCAGGATTGGTTACCATACTCTTGTAAAGAGTGTGTGTGGTGTACTACAGGGGGTAGATCAGTTTGTGCGTTCTAATGCTCTCCTTCTGGCTGTTTTCTTCTTTTGTGTGGAATATTCATAATGTTTTCCCCCTGTATTTCCTTCTGTTTTTGGACAGTTTTGCCTCCACAGGAACACCTTGATCTCAGCATGACTGTGAATCAATTAAATCCAGTTGAAATGAAAGCATGAAACATCCTTATTGTGTAATTTTTGTCTAAATTTCCCTGCAAACCTGTGTCCCGTGCTGTCCCTTTAAGAGTAATGTTCCTTGCAGGGCTAACGTCATTGTCCACTGGTCTTGTTAATTTTTTTTTCCCTCCCTCCAAGCTCTCAGCAGTGACCTTGGGAAGTACACTTGCAGTCCCCATACACACACACACACACACATACACACACACACACACACAGACAGATGTGAGCATGCATACTGATAGTAAATACACAGGAACAAGTACACACACACACACACACACACACACACACACACACACATATACTGAGATTAATGTTGTATCATCCCCATTTCTCTCCCTCCCGCTGTGTTAGTCTGTCTCTCTTTTATCTCTCTCCTCCATGTTTCTGTTATCGAGCCATAAATGACTGGACCGCTGCTTTTTGTATGGTGTGTGCAGAAAGGAGAGCAAAGCAAATTGCCGCCGCTTGCAATCTTTTCTTCTTTGTTTGTGCTCAAATTTATCTCCCACAGTATGAGACACAATCACCCACACACTTCTCCACGAAGTTACTTGCGTACCTATAGCAATTGATAATGAACAGCGTGTAAGAGAGGATGTTTGTTATGCTCACAATGTGACCGCAGGCACCGAAGTTGCTTTGCTGCTGCTCAGGCTGCGTGCCTGTATTTTGTATTCAGCACCTGTCTAAAGCCATTTTCAGTACCGGTAAGAATTATGGAAGATTACAGCTCTCCATTTTCTCAGGGCAAGTACAGCCCAACAGTCAATACGTGGTGTGCTAGGACGCTGAGGTAATTTGGTCTTTCTCCTTTTAGTCACTGAAAGCAATGATGCCGGTACGTCGTCAAAAGATTAAAGCGAGGCAAAACAGCAGAATGTAGCTTTTTAATATTTTATTAATCTGTGCTCATAATGTGCTTGTGTTAATGCTTTATCACTGCAGAGAAACATTCACAGCAATGCCTCATATGTAAATGAAGTAA